ATAAGTGCTAATATCGTAGGCAACTGGACTTGCTTGCATTTCTTGAAGATATTTCGCCTCTCATCCAAGAAGCTTCTTCAGTTCTAAATGACACAGTGTCACCCCTGGTCCCACCTGACCCTAACGACTCACATGGTGGCCAGGTGGGTCAATGACTCACATTGTGACCGTAACGACTCTGAAACTAAGAGCACATGTGACCCCTATGACTCTGCAAGGGTTCCCACCCACACAGGGTTTATAGCCTGCAACTTTGTACCAGTCATTTAGAACTGAAGAAGCTTCTTGGATGAGAGGCGAAACGTCTTCATGAAATGCAAGCAAGTCCAGTTGCCTACAATATTAGCACTTACGAATGTATTCACTTTCACACCTTTAGGCAATTTTGGAAAACCTGAACCAGCTTGTCTGAAATAATACTGACTCTGTATTAACACCTTTTAACTTTACACCTTTATCTGTCAGAATGTGCCAGTATCCTGGAGCGTCAACTCTGCAACAGCAACCACAATCAAGGAGAGGCCAAAATCCCGTAAGCACAGAATCATAACTCAGTCAAAACAAGACTTTGTGTAACAATCTGAACAAATAAAGCAGCCATGGCTCAGACTCATCATCATCTCCTCTCACTCCAGCTTTTTCAACTCCACAACAGCCTGTCCAAAGAGTGACAAACTCAAAAGCAGTCCAGCAGCTGCAGGAGTCCTGCACTGGTTTGCAGGTAAAGCAGATTTGTTGAGTTTCATTGACTATGAACAGAAACCAAAGAAGTCCTGTTCTTTATTTATTTAAATTGAATTACCATCTTTCAGGTCAATGGATCGGGCAGGGAGGTTTCAAGAACTCCTCTGGCCACAGCGGTGCAGCCTAAAGAGAAGGACAGGAAGGATCGAACACCATCACAGGTGTTGCACTGAAACCATTTGCTGTTTAGGACACGACATTATGATTTGCAGTTGCTCAGCAGGGCTTTCTGCAAGTTTAACACCTCCATGTTGTCCTGACTTAAAACCCAAATACAGCATAGCAAATGGAAACATGATGGCCACCATCCTGTCTCCTCCCAGGTAGCCCTGTTGAGCAAGTGGCTTCATTTTGAGCCACAGAACCCCTTTAGCATTGTACCTATGTTAGCACCACTAGCTGTGTTGACACTGCTAATGAATGAAAGGAATTTGTCATAGAAATACATTGTGCTGTTCTTTCAAGTGAAATGCCCCAAATGTTATCAACCATCCACCTTTTTCTGGCAGAGTGTCCCCGATTCAACAAATTCTGCAGCAGCAGAGGCCACAACTAAGAAGGATCCCAAATCAGGTGTGCAGTAGTATGGTTTCTTCAGTTGTTCTTCATTGCTTAAAAATATAAAAAAAGAAAGAAAAAAAGAAAGAAAATCAAGCAATCACTGTTTTCCTTCTCTACAGTGTGTGAGACTGCGCAGTCTGATTCCTCCACTGGACTGAAGGTATCTGTACAGTGAGATCATGATTTATTGGCATGTCCTGTGGAGCAACGCCAATTTCACCACAAAGGTTATGATATCATTTGAATCTCTGGGCTTGTGCTGAGTGTTTTACGTGTTCCGTGTTCCAGGTGAAGGAACTGGCCCAGATGTTTTCAGCCGCCACAACCCAGGAAGCAGCAATCCAACCAAAGAAGAAACGCAGAGGGGAACAGAATCTATCACAGGTACAAGACCCTGTGTAAATCTTATTCTTCACCTCACTGACTGTCTGCTAAGCTGTTTATATGGCTAATAACTAGGGAATAATGCTTGACAAGATGTCAGTAATCAATTATTAATGGCTGTAGCAGAGGCTGGTTGCCTCTGTGAGAGGCCATCTAAAAGTGATAACAGAAACCTCAAAGGGCATTATCCCACATATACCATGGTCACAAGAAATAGATAGCTGTCACAGGTACAGCTCATTCACACACTTTCATACACTGGTGGCAAGGCTGCCATATAAGGTGCCACCTGCTACTCGGTTGTTAACACACTCAAACACCGATGGAACAGTCATTGGGAGCAATTTGGGGTTCAGTACCTTGCTCAAGGATACTTCGACATGCGGACTGGATTGAACCGCCGATCTTTTGATTGGTGGACAACCTGCTCTACCTTCTGAGCTACAGCCGCCCAATACAATGTCTTTGCAGCTGAAATAGAAAATACACATTCATTTTTTGCAGCTTTTTGGGCAGATTCAAATATTATAAACCTTCCAACTTTCTCTTGTAGAATGTACCCGATTCAGAAAGTGCCACCACCCAGATGAATTCTGCTTCTGCAGAAACTACAACTGAAGAGGATCCTGACATATATTCTGCCGCTGGTATGAAGGTACAGCTGAATCTTGACTTCCAGGAATGTCCTGCATGTAGATGAAAACATCGTAATACATTCAGCCTGATGCACTATTTTTATACTTATGTCCATTTTTTTCTTATATTTCTTATTTATATAAGGTTTATTACCTCTGCCAAGGAGGTTATGTTTTCGCCGACGTTGGTCTGTTTGTTTGTTTGTCTGCAAAATAACTCAAGAAGTTATGAACGGATTTTGATAACATTTTCAGGAAAGATGGATAATGGAACAAAGAACAGTTGATGATGGTGGCGATCGGTTGAAGCAAAGTGGATAACATAATAAAATAGTGCTAAATAGCACTGTGTATTCACCGAATCTGATGCAGAGGAGGAGGGAATATCACCTACTTGGTGGAGGTCTGCACTCTGAGTGCTTTTCTAGTTTTATTATATTAATTGTTTTTCTTTTTTCATTATATTTATCACATTTTACCTTATATTTGTATAAGATTTATTTTATTAAATGTATTTATTTATTTTTATTATTATTATTTGTATTATTTCTTATTTTTTTATTTTTCTTTTATTTCTTCTTATATTTATCAAATTACCAAAGTGCTACATGCACAGTTTGGTTTAATTCAATTTCCATTTTATTTATAAGCCCAATATCGCAAATCACAATTTGCCTCACAGGGCTTTACAGCAAATGTGCCATTTTCTTTGTTTGCACCTGTGTTTTGTGTTGCACAGGTGTTTGAGGTGGTTACTAGGAGCATTAATTGGTTGAGTACTTGAGTATTTGTTTTCACTTCAGGTGAAGCCATTAGCCCAGAAGGTTTCAGCTACCACAGCGCAGGCAGCAGCAGTCCAGCCAAAGGAGACGCCCAATACAATGTCTTTGCAGCTTTTTGGGCAGATTCATCAAATATTATAAACCTTCCAACTTTCTCTTGCAGAATGTACCCGATTCAGAAAGTGTCACCACCCAGATGAATTCTGCTTCTGCAGAAACCACAACTGAGGAGGATCCTGACATATATTCCGCTGCTGGTATGAAGGTACAGCTGAATCTTGACTTCCAGGAATGTCCTGCATGTAGATGAAAACATCTTAATACATTCAGCCTGATGTACTATTTTTATACTTCTGTCCATTTTCTTATATTTCTTATTTATATAAAGGTTTATTGTTATGTTTTCGCTGGAGTTGGTCTGTTTGTTTGTCTGCAAAATAACTCCAAAAGTTATAAATGGATTTTGATGAAATTTTCAGGAAAGGTGGATAATGGGACGAGGAACAGATGATAAAATTTTGGTGGTGATCGGTTGAAGCCAAGTGGATAAAATAATAAAATAGCGCTAAATAGCACTGTACATTCACCAAATCTGATGCAGAGGAGGAGGGAATATCACCTACTTGGCGGAGGTCTGCACTCTCTGAGTGCTTTTCTAGTTTTATTATATTATTTTTTTTCTGTTTTCATTATATTTATCACATTTTACCTGATATTTATATAAGATTTATTTTATTAAATGTATTTATTTATTTATTTTTATTATTATTATTTGTATTATTTCTTATTTTTTTATTTTTCTTTTATTTCTTCTTATATTTATCAAATAACCAAAGTGCTACATGCACAGTTTGGTTTAATTCAATTTCCATTTTATTTATAAGCCCAATATCGCAAATCACAATTTGCCTCACAGGGCTTTACAGCAAATGTGCCATTTTCTTTGTTTGCACCTGTGTTTTGTGTTGCACAGGTGTTTGAGGTGGTTACTAGGAGCATTAATTGGTTGAGTACTTGAGTATTTGTTTTCACTTCAGGTGAAGCCATTAGCCCAGAAGGTTTCAGCTACCACAGCGCAGGCAGCAGCAGTCCAGCCAAAGGAGACGCCCAATACAATGTCTTTGCAGCTTTTTGGGCAGATTCATCAAATATTATAAACCTTCCAACTTTCTCTTGCAGAATGTACCCGATTCAGAAAGTGTCACCACCCAGATGAATTCTGCTTCTGCAGAAACCACAACTGAGGAGGATCCTGAC